TTTATGGTTCTTGTTCTTTCATAGCCGTTAATCACGTGTTCAGGTCATCTAAATATTGTGAAGCTTCTGATTCAATCTGGAGCCAAGGCTGTTTTTGTGAATATGAACAGCGAGTTCAAGGTTAGTCCGCTTCTAATAAAAAGCGAAGTTCTAGGATTTGCCAATTTTAGGAATCTCCTCTAACATTAGCAGCATACAAAGGCTACACTGATGTGATTGAGTATCTTCTTACACTCGACGACTACGACCGCTCTACGAGGGATGAGGAGTTACATACAGCTCTGATGGAGGCTGCTATGGATGGACATCTGGAGGTATACATTACAGTATTGTTCGGGCTTTACGCACAAATTTATGGAAACGATGGAGTTTGGAAATGAATACCCAAAAATTATCGAGAACAGTGGGGTACAAACATCTAGAATTTTCGACTGTCATAGCTAGACGCGCACTATCTCCGCTTACCTGGATTAAGAGCGAAAATGTATCTGAACTTAGTGGCGTTCAATAAATCGGCAGCTATCATAGTAATTAAAATTTATCTTCCAGTCTCAGGGCATCGTCAGTTTAAAAATTTGCAGCTGCATTTTCTTGCAAACTACCCCAATTTATCTCCGTTTAGTCTTCCTTACCTCTCGGTTCTATACGGCAGTTTGTATTTGAGACAGTGTAGAAAACTATGCAATGAGTGTTTTTTGCCCGTTTTTCACGCCAGTTTTCCTGGATTAAATTCCTTGTACAAACCTTTATCTTTATAGGTTGCTCGTGTTCTCATACAAGCTGGTGCTCCGGTAAATCTTACTAGCGAGTCGTACGAAAGCCCTCTAACGCTTTCGTGTTGCGGTGGTCATGCTGAATTGGTAATTTTTCTCATCATCGCTTGAGACCAGGAGCGTGTACGATTTGCACACATTTTCTGAACACGCGTGAACTTGTTCTGTCTTGTTCCAAGTTGTAAAAAATCAAGATGAGACGTTTCACAAGTTAAACTTGCTAAAAGAGGAGCAAATTCGTCTAGACAAGTTTGCAAAGCGTACTTCCAAGTCTTGAAATGAATGATGGTATTTGCACTCACCATTCCTTTTTTCTAGGCCAAGTTATTGATTGATGCTGGAGCTAATATAGAAGAAACTAATGACGAAAACTATACGCCATTGATGGAAGCAGCTAGGGAAGGCCATGTGGTGAGGAGGCATCTTTCGAATTTTTGACTTTTATGACTTATTTTTTGTTAAATTGAACATTCAGCATGTGGTGAAAATACTGCTTGAGAACGGCGCGCAGGTGAACGCGACTACTGACGAAACAATGGAAACGGCGCTTACTGTCGCAGCTTGCGGTGGATTTACGTAAGTTCGAGGTAGTTATTTACGAAATCAGTCTTCATCCTTACTATTTAGGGAAGTGTTAGATGTGCTGGTGAAGCATGGAGGAGATCTAGAACTAGGAACTAATACACCCCTTATGGAGGCTGCACAAGAAGGTCATGCCTCGACTGTTAATTATATACTTGCTGCTGTAAAGCCAGTATGTTGATGCTATACACGTGACAATATGAAACTCATATCTCTGACTCACAGGAAAATCGTTCCGCCAAATTCCGTCAACAAATGAATCAAGCATTGTCGCTTGCTGCTGAGAATGGCCATTTCGATGTTCTTGATGTGCTTTATTCGAACGGAGCAGATCTGGTATGTTATTTATATTATATTTTTTGAATATAAATTTCTGGCACTCATTAAAGGCATTGTCCAGGTCTACTTGGGGATATTGGAGTCTTGACACAGTGTGAGAGCACGGCTCTTAACTAACGCA